TTTATTACAAGAGCCAGAGTTAAAGTTTATTATTTATTATTTATTAGTTTGCAAATCAAAAACTCAGCTCATCTGCATCGGCAGGATTGTGGTATAGTTGGGTTTTTGTTTTGTTTTGTTTGATTGATTGACTGACTCACTATGGTCTGGCACCATGACCAACCCCACAACTGTTGTAACATTTTGATTCAAATATTTCTAAATCCTGATTGATGCACAGAAATGTGTGATATCACATTTTTTTCATGACCACTTCAGACAAAGTGAGAAAATCACAGACAACATGAAAAATACTTCATGTGGAGTAACCTGTTTGGACCCCATCACTCATAGTAAAAAGCCAGTTTGAGGGTCTTTTACTCTCATAATCAAATCGACACAATAATTGGAGACCACTTTTATGGCGATGAGTGAGCTCTGATTCTGGTTTGCGAATTTCAGTGTGGCGTTCACACCCGTCCTCTCATAGAAATCAAACCTTTTCAGGTTGACAAGTAAATAAGGGAGTCAATGCCAGAACAGCTGTCAATAGAATAATGCTTCGAATGCTAATGAGGGAAATTGCTGACAATCCATGTTCTGATTTGTCGGTGATTTTTATTCCTTGTTAGTGCACCTTGCCAGCTTCCTTCAATCAATAAACCACTGGAATGCACTCACTCTCTGACTTCAGCATAAATGTGTCATCCAATGTGAGTTGCACCACGCACCATTGTTCGCATCATAGTGAGGTGACTGTACCCTTGTCCTGCAATTTCAGCATCAGCTGCCTTATTTGCATCCATCCCACCCACGCATCGCTGTAGCTCATTGGGGATTTAGGACTTTGTCAATAATGCCTATGTTGCAGTGTCAGTGTGCTGCCTAATTACGAATTGGCTTTTGCTCAAATATGGTTTGATCAAGTCAGACATGGTCACACAAACATAAATTAAGGCATTCAGAGTTTGCACTTAATAATGGCAGATGTTTGAGAGACGGTGGCAGACTCTCAGATGTCATGGCTTGAATGCAACATATTTATGAACATATAGTTGTGTGGCTGATTTTTCCATTTCCATTAGCGACTCTTCCACAGTTCTGCTGCAACTCAGTACTAGATGGCACTCAGCAAAGCATACACTGTGCTGTACTGTGCCTGAGCAAGTGCTATGCAGCTGTCAATGTGCCAGTTCCACAAGTCAGATTTTCAGCTAAGAATTTTTTCCATGCTCCATTAACAACCTATTTCACATCAGGAGATGCACACTTCTATGACTGTGCCTGAAATGGAACATCAGATATGCCCGTTCATATTCTAGGCACTCTTAAGCTGCCACACAGCACAGCAAATCAGTCCTGTTCAGCGGGTATTTGGACAGCCCATCTACCACTGTACTGCACTGAGCTCTGGAAAAATTGACAGTGCATCTATGTTTTAAGAGTTTGACTGTGTCAACATTATAGGAATTCTTCTTACATCGGCTGAGAGGAGGTGTGTTTGATGGTGTGAATATGTTCATACGGTGTATATATTATAGTGAGCAACCTGACCCACTGCCCCACCCTTTTTTAAAAGGAGAAGTCCCATTACTAACTTTTACAAAGATAAAGATATCATTAGACAAAATAGATGGAGAACATGAGCAGAAAATGGAACGTTCAGCTGTTGAATATATTGTAGTGTTAAGGTATATGAACGAGTGAATAATTTATTGCAAAGATTAAAAAAAACAGTGTTTTTTTAATCATACACTTTTTGTATATTTGTACTTTTGGCATGCTTATTACATTTTTGAAATGTTTATTGAATCATTGAATTGTTATTTAAACAAGTTCTTCTTCAATGTTTGTTCTTGTCACTATTTAAATTACATTTTGTATAAGCTACAATTATCATCAGCTCTGGATCTAAAACCAACCTACCTTAAGAAGCTGCCTCATAGGAAGTCCAAAGGTCTGAAATGTAGCGGGGCAAGACATACTCAGATATTATTAGTGATCAGTAAAAAGGATGATAGCATGGGGATGTTCTGATTGACATTTGCTCAAAAATGTTATGGTTCAAAAAGCGTACATCTGTTTTCTTTCAAAAGCTTTTGATTGGATGGGCAGCTTAAGAATAGGCTTGCAGTTATTAAAGATGATAGTATCTGAGTGGGTTTTTCTCAGAAGGGGGTAGACTGCTGCGTGTGTTAAAAACTAGCCGGTGGTCAATAATGTATTATTGACTGAAATCAATAATAATCCAGCAATGTCAGTAAAACAGTTATTTCAATTATTTGAATGCGCATTTTTTTGTCCTTTCTCTATTGCCCATATTTCTATTTCCATAATGCACAAAATCATTGTATTATTTCTGTTTGTATGCATATTTTTGTGATTTGTTATTTGATGTATGAGTTGTATTTATTATAGTAAACATCTTGTAACCACTAGTCAACTACTTACTTGGTTTTAAATTTACTTCTACTTAGGCGCTGGAGGGATGTTTTTATGGAGGTGGGGGGCAGGAAAGGGGAAGGATTATGAATGTTTTCTTTTGGCTGAAGAGAGCAGGGGAGGGTCTTCTAACTGTTTCTCATTCCAGATTTATTTAATTTCATTTTTTTCTTGTGTGATATATTGTAATTAATCGGTTACATCAAAAACTTGGCTTTTGTGAGCACAACAGGTCATAAAACTGTGTTTGGTCAAATGCTGAGGATGACAATCTTGTCATCATTTTAGCAGGCTGTGTGAAAATGATGGCTCATTAATATATATACTAATCTTTAATCTTTAATCTTTAACAGGGGGGTTTAGCTCTTCTCCCCAACCTAGTTATTTTCAGAAATCCCTTAAGCAACATTTCTTTGAAACTTAGGGTATGTCACCAATTTTACATATCAGTGTCTGTTTACAGGTCTTGGGAAGTAGCTACTACAACATATTTGAAAAGAGTTGTATTAAGTCTTCTGTGGCTCCAGAGGGAGATGTGCAAAGTCTCATAAATTACCTCAAGTGATGTAACATGAGTCAGAATCTGTTGGCGTTGAAGTTTGAAAACGAAAAATATCTGGCAGTGTGGAATTAAAAAGAAGTGAGCATGTCAGACCCTTTGTAGCCCGCTCCTCATGTTTGCTTGAGGCTAGCAGCTTACAGGCTACACTAGTTGCAGCTTGTCTGAATTTCCAACCAAGCTGTCTGTGGCCAAGTTGCATTGTGGGTGATCAGCATCAGATTCTGAGAAGGAGGGGGAAAAAAAGGTAATAAAAAAGAAGATAACACTGATTCTGCTGCATCTCTAAATCTCTGACGTCCTCCTGTCTGTCTTTGAACCGTCAACCTGTTATGATTGCACTTTGTGGCAGCAGTGGTATATGCAAGGTAATAATAATGATTTAGCCAATAAGTTTGGAAAATAGCAAATAGCCAAATACATACTCAGCATAGTTTTGTGTTTGCCCCAAGGGGCTTATGAAAAATTAATATCAATTTTCGGCCTGCATTACAAGACACAAACATCTCAATACATTTCCATTCTGGTCATATATAATGGGATGTTGATGATGGGTAACGCTTCACTGAAGCATGCTGATTCCATTTTTTTTTATCAATAATGGATCATAAATTACTCAACACATAGCTGACTGTATGGTATGCAGATTGCATTAGTGACAATGCACTTCAGGATATGACAATTCTGCTGCCATGCTTGTGCATATTACAGTATAATCCATTTATTCACTGTTGTTCCTCAGGCTATATTTAAACACGCCTGTGGATACCTTGCTGCTGCAGGTAATTTCTAAGGAATAAAGCCCTTGTGTAGGTGTGATCCAAGAGCAATGCAACAAGAAAACATCCCCGCTCTGCTATCATGGGAAAAGCATCCCTCAACTTATTTTTCCTGCCATCTGCTTGTACGTGACACGATTCTTCGATACTCATAGAAATTCTCTCTTGAGCAAAATGGTTGCATGTGGATGGGCTTCTCTTATGTCTCTGCAGCCTCTCCACTGTAATGGTATGCATGATTGGTGGGTGCATTGAGGTTGGGGTGGTGGCCTGGGGTGAAAATGTCAAGATATTATTCTTAGATGTCCCTTTACAGCTCTCACGAGCGGTTACATCAACCGTCTCCCTTTACTATCACTTAGTGTTTAAACAGACATTTAAGTCCAATGCTGCTGAACTTTCAAGACTCATCTGTGCCTTACAGAGCTGACATCCCTCTCTAGCTTGCAGCTCACCATTTCTCCCACTGCACATTGCACTGATGACCACTCCGGAGTGTTGATGAGGGCAGGAAATGTGTGAGAAAGAAGAGGAAAAAAAGAAGCTTAACCAACAGTCAAAGGGCAAGGTGGAGCAGCAGTATGACCTTATTGTTCACCTATTAAATCCCAGAAGATCTTGACAGATGTAAAAGTGCAAGCCCAGGGCTGTAGGCTGCTTGTTGATTGGCGATAAGGTCAGTTATAGGAACTCTTATGTAGGGGTTGTATTGTACTTTACACCAGTTAAGGAGGGGAGAACACCTTGTTTCTGCTCTGTGCCCTCCAAATGTTGCTGCTGCATTCTCCGGAGGGTTGGGTTAAAGATATTAAAAGATGTGTTTACATTTTTTATCCTCCCTGGGGTGCAGTAAACAGGTAGGAATACATTTATTCAGAGCAAGTTGCTTTGGAAGTAATGCGCTTTTATGCACTGGCACAATTCCTCTCTGCACATAGCCTATTGGTTTTTTTATATATATTTTGGTGATTTTATTGCTTCATGATTAATGTCATAATCTTATCCACCTCATCCAGTTTACAGCCACATTTTTTTGTTTTTTAAAAAAAGAAGAAAAAAGATCGACTAATTCTCGTTAACGTGACCGTTTTCTCTCATGTCAGATGAGCTTTTTCCGTGGCTGGCTGCTTTCACATGTTGAAGCAAAAGGCAGCTCCGGAGTTCCCACCGCTCCTATAAAAGCACCAAGAGTCCGGAGCGTCTTCCTTTCCACGTCTGGTCAGCCGCGGTGTGTGAGAGGAAGGCACCAAATAAATGAATAAATAAATAAATAAATCCCCTCTGACTGTGAGTGTGTGCGCGCAAGAGAAAAGGGACGAGACTTCGCCTGCACCTCAATCTGCTCTGCATCTTTCCACCGGACCCGCAGTGGATACAGCCGACTGTGCGGGACTACATGTACGAACACAAGATGTAAAGGAGGTGTTTTTTTTTTTTAAGTACAGAGTGTGTTTCAGAGGTCCGCTTGTTTTAAAGGAGCACAGCACAAAGCGAAAAATCACTGCCTGGCTTTTTTTTCTCCCTTCTCCTCTTCCTCTTTGCGCTCTTCCCTCACTGGTAAGTGGGATGCAGGATACGCAGCATCACCGGCATCGTTAGAATAAGCCTAATAGATAGACCTTCCAGTTCAGCAGGCCTATCAGATTTCAAGGCAACGTTAAGTGAAGACTAAACAGTAGGGGGAATAAAAAAAACTCTCCGCCGGTGTCATAAAAGGACTGCTTTTGTTCTGGGGGGATAAAGTGAGGAGGGATATTTTTTTTCCAACTATTTGGGATGTGGATTGTTTTTTATTCACCGGGTGCGCTAATGCCCCATGAAACAGGGAATGATTTGGTCCTCTAAAGATCAGCTTTAACTGGACTGCTGTTGATCTTATCGGTAAGGCATTTTTATCTGCCCATCTCTATCTGCCCGGTGAGTCTCGGTGGCGGAGGGGAGGCGCGGAACAAGCTCCAGAGAACTACAGGAGGGGAGAATTGAGTTACATTGCAATTACGCTTTTCTTGCAAAACGACGTGTTTCTGCGGACACACACACACACACACACACACACACACACACACACACACACACACACACACACACACACACACACAAACCTGAGCCAAACTAACTGAGAATTTATTTTAAAACCTGGACCTGAAGAGGGAGCACACACACAGCCTAAGCAGGTAAGACAATTAAGTTGTTGTTGTTGTTTTTTTAAAGTGAATGCATCATATGCAAAACTGTATGAATGCTTAAAAAGGGTTTTAATGTCAATTTGATATAAGTAGAAGATATAATCTGCGTCAATGACTGACTGAACCTCCTTTGTTGTATTAGGCTGCTTCATTGTGCAGCAGAAGTTGAGACACTGATTATCCATCATATAGCCTTTAACGAAAATGATATTTCAACCTGTCTGATTCTGACTCCACACACAGTCAGGTTTCTTTGTCTGTACATTTCTCTTGTTTTATGTGTCAGCTGCGTTGGTGAACTCCATGCTGCCTAATTGTTGCATGCTGGGTTGAATGGAAACTGTCCTTGTGCAGATTGGAGACTATGCGAATCAGAGTGCCAATAGAGGCTCACACATTGTTAATTGGTAGGAGGCAGAGGCCGAGGACATCTCGGTCGTGACTGATGGCAGTATGTTACAGTGACAAAGTATTCACTTTAAGTGGAGTGGTACAGATCAACTGCAAATTCATTAAGAGGATGATCGATTCCCGTTCTGGTGTTAAGTGTTGATTTAACACTCATTACAGACTCGGTGTTTAGACTTTTTACTCGTTAGATTTTTTTATTTATTAAACGGAAACAAAGGAGGAATTTATTGAACGTGATGTTGTAATGAGATTTGGTGAGAGGGTGGTTGGGACACACACAAACACACACACACACACACACACACACACACACACACACACACACACACACACACACACACACACACACACACACACACACACACACACACACACTCACGCTCATTTTTGGCACCACCTTGTGGTTTAATTTAGTATTTGGCTCCACTCTTGGCATCCACAGGTTTATTATTTATAGCATTATATTCGAAAACCCTTTTTGTTTATCGTCTCCAAGAATTAATGTGCTGTGAAGTGATGCAGTGATAAATTAAAATGTGGGTAGCTTTTGACCCCGGGCAGTAAATGGTCATAACCACAAATGGAAGTTATATTTTTTACCAAATGCTTCTGTCCATTAAGAATTAATTTGCATATGAGTCAACTGTTTGATTATCCTTGTTAATATGACATATAGTATATAAATTAACTATAAATAATACTCATAGATAGCCTATATTCTGTTCCCAATATGTCCTGTTTTTATATGTTTGGATTCCTCTACACCTGGGTAGACTGGGTAAAGGTTGTTCCCTCAGATTTTATGATAAAGTCTTTTCCGTGTGTAAAAACAAAAATGTTAGGCGCTTATTCTCCATTTTTCAGCAAAATAGTTACTCTGAACTTTATTGGCAACAGCATCGCAACCACCTGTTAGTGCTACACTGGTGCCAGCTGCTGCTAGCATTTCTGCAAGCGCAAGTACTTTGTGTTGTTCCCAAAATGAATAAATGCTGCATCCATAAACACAAACTGCTTTGCTGGCTGTCTTGTTATAAGTCAGATATTTGCTCTACATAATCAATTTCATGTTCATAAGTTTATCTGCAGCTTGGCAATTCAAGTTCATGCAGCATTTGATGCCAAGCACCACAGCGGATGCCTCAAAGGAACACTTAAAATTTGACAGCTCAGTAATTGGGAATGGTGATCATGTTGGATTGGCTATATGCAATTATGAATTGGGTGCATATCAACAATTTTTTTTTTTTTTTTTGTCCTGCAAATCCAGTTCTAGCTGAGGTTTTGTTCCAAAACAAAGAATGAGTTTGGAAAGTACCAGAATGTGGGGATTCATTATTAGGATAATCAAATCAAGAGTAATTCAGTGTTATTGGGCAGTCATTTACACAAATGAAATGTCTGTGCTGCCAGATAATTAAAAAAACTAATTTTATGAGACGAAAACTGAGATTACAACTCCATGACAACAGGCCAAACTCCATCCACTGATGAAGACTACGAATTTAAAAAAGCTTAATAAAGAGCTTGTAAATTGACCTTGATGTATACAAAATAATTGTATAGAACTACTATTTCTAAGGTCAGGAATGAACCTTTACGCTCCATTTTGTCTTTGTGTGTATTAGCCCACATGGAGCAAATAAAAGCAGTTTCAACCTCCTGAAATTAATCAGGACCACTTCACTCTATCATATTATTGAATTACTGAGGCTGCTAATGAATATAAAATGTACAATTACTAAGGCTTGTGATATCATTCTCTCTACAACTTACTGAGGTGTTTGTTGTTGGTGCTGGCAGAGTGAACCGAGGCAGCTCAGGTTCAGGGCCCCCCCAAAATGAGGACACCCCCTTGATGAAGAGATGACGACTTGTGTGTTTTTATAATGGTAACCATTTTTTCCGAGGTTCATTGAACACAGCATAGCAGTGTACGTTCTTTAAGGAGAGTTTGAGGGAAAACGATAACCAGGCAACGGAAACGACTGAAAGGTGGCCCAGGTTAATTAAAGTGAAGGTATATTAGCTTTAATTTAGTTTCACATTTGTGTTGAAGAATAAGAAGCTAAATTTCGCTTCATTTAGGGATACATTTCGTGTCTGTACCTGCTAGTTTATGTGTAACTTATGTCACTGTATTACATGGAAGCTAACGGTTCTGCCGGTTACCGACCGTTAATTTAACGTTAGCTAACGTTAAGTGGGTAAAAACGTCCGTTAGTAGCCTCATTTTCAAGCTAACGTTATATTTCTAATTTCAGTCCTTAAATGTTTTTTTATTTATCATAGTTCAACCATGCAGAGCACTTTGTGACTTTGTTTTTAAAAGCGCTGTCTAAACTTTATTATTATTTCAGAGAAAACTAATGTACGTTCGCTTAAGCATCTGTTTTATCTCAAAGGTAAGCTTTAATTTGACAGTAATTTCACAGTTTTGAAGATATTGCCCAGTTAAAATATTAAACTATGTTGGCTTACTTAAAAAAAAATAATGTTAATGTTACCTTAGCTAACAACGTAACTGTATTTTCTGACTCAAACTGCACTAACATTAAAGGTAGAGAGCTAAGTCAGAGCTGACGTTAGCTAAGTTAAACATCTAATGTTAACAGTTACCAAATATTTAAGCAAATATTTTCTTTTTCTCAAAGGTTAGTAACCTAAAAAAACAACCACAAGTTGTTTGACAGTACTTAACAGTTACCAATGTTTTAAAGACTTCTATTTATTTCTATCCAGTCATAACAAAAACAATTTCTTTGGCTGAATTTAAAAGATATTAGTGCTTGCTGACCTTTATTATCTAAGTTAACAGCATTCACTGTGGAAGAAAAACGTGTTGACATGAGCCTCCACCTAGGTACATCTGAGCTGATAACTACATTAACTTGGCAAGATAAATTAGAATGAATAAACATACATGTAATTTACCTATTATGAATTTATTATTATTATGTTGGAGGCAAAATTATGATTAGTGATCTTGAGCTGTAGAAATACACTGTGTTCCAAATTATTAAGCATATACTGTTTTTGTTCTTCCCCCCCCTAAACAGTCTATATAATTGGCAGTCAATAGGATTTTTTATTCCTCAACAATTATATCGTAATTGGCATTTTTTTGCAAAATAATTCAAAATTCAGTGTTCCAAATTATTATGCAAAACAGAGATTGAAAACAGAAATCTGTTGTATTTTTTGCATATGGGGGTAATTTTTCTCAAATCAAAGCTATTTCAATCAAAAACATCTTTACAGATCTGGTTACATATTAACATAGGGGCCCTTCTTTGATATCACCTTAACAACTCTCTCATCCATTAAAACTGTAAGTCCATGTACAGTTTCTGCCTGTATTTCCTTTGAGGATGCCAGAATTCCCCAGAGCTGCTGTTTTAGGTAAACTGCCGCCCACCCTCATAGAGCCCACCCTCATAGAGCTTCCTTTTAAGGATGCTCCACAGGTTCTCAGTAGGGTTGAGGTCAGGAGATGATGGTGACAACACCATGATTTTTTCTCCCTTTATGCCCATAGCAGTCAAGCCTCAATGGTATTTGTTGCAGCATGGGATGGTGCGTTGTCTTACATTTTACTCCGGAAGGCACAGTTCTTCTTTTTATACCATGGCAGGAAATGGGCAGTTAGGAACTCCACATATTTTGCAGAGGTCATTTTGACACCTTCAGGCACCTTAAAGGGGCCTACCAACTCACTTCTGATGATTCCAGCCCAAAACATCACTCCACCACCTCCTTGCTGACGTCGCAGCCTTGTTGGGACATGGTGGCCATCCACCAACCATCCAAAACTCCATCCATCTGGACCATCCAGTGTAGCATGGCATTCATCAGTGAATAAAACTGTTAGTATAGTATAAAATTAGTCTTCATGTATTTCTGAGCCCACTGCAATCGTTTCTCCTCTCTCATTGTTTAAGGGTGGCCAAAATACAGCTTTATGCACATCCGCAAGCCTCTGGAGGATCCTGCATTGAGAAGTTCTTGGGACACCAGCAGTTTCAAATTTGCTACTCATCAGTGGCTTTTTCACAGCTGCTCTCTTAATACAATGAATTTTCATGCAACTTTTTCCCCATATTGCATGGAACCTGTGACTTGCTTAATAATGTGGAACAACCTCCTTAAGTAGTTTCCCGTTAAACCTGTCTGAGATTGATGTCAGTGATCTCAACAGACATGCGAAGCAGCACAATTGAAAACTTTGATTGAAAAACTAAAAACCAAATGTTTGTTTGTTTAATTTAAATGGTATTTGCATAATCATTTGGAACACAGTGTAAATCGGCTTGACTTGCTCTTGATAGGTAGTCCTCCAATTATCTTTAAACTACCGGTAATTCTGTTGATGTTACTTTTTAACAAATCCTCCACCTACAACAGATGTTAGAAAATGTTTCATTTGCTTTTAATAGAGTACTATAAAAGAGCTGAAGGAGCAGCAGCTCAGCGCAGCTTGACGCAACCCACTTCAGCATCAGGACAGCACATACAGGGCTAGTGCCAAGTCCCAGTCCAAGTCCCAGCAGCAGACCTGTTTTCAACCAAGAAGTTCA